GAGACAACACATGCGGGTATCACGTCCTCTTAAAGCTTATATAATATATACACTACGGACTTTTAGTTTTGAAAGTAAACTATTATTGCTAATAAATTTTGATTTTATATACTAGTCATGCATCTGGAAAAGTAGCGATACCTATGGTGGATTTTACACATTCGCATCAATCCTTGTCCGCCGTTTAGATATTGTAAATGTTCATAATAATTAATAATGATCTTCATTACGTACTAACGAATTACAATAATCCAGGCGCTGTGTTTATACGTTTTTGATTAAAAATATTCCGATAACTTTTTATTAAATAATGCAACATGCACATATTACAATTTACCAGTTAAGCAAAAATGTTTAATATTTAAACGTGTCACAGCACGCAAATTATTCACAAGTTATATTTTATAAGGGATATAAAATATTCGGTACCTACAAATAGTTGAAAAGTGCTTCAAATGATTTAATAACTATCATCACAAAACATCCGTTTGGATCGTGACGGTCAACCGTAACTTTTGTGTGGCGGACCATAATATATAATAGACTCCATAAAATAATAGACAGTAAGAAAACGTTTGAAGCAGGTTGTGAAACAAATATTTCTGATTATCAGCTGAGTGAAAATAAACAATTGGAGGACCGAACTTTACAGCAATCATTATATTGGTGAGAAACTTGATTTAATTATTTTTCAAAAAAAAAAATCAGTCAACCGGCAACTCCTAAAAATATTTAAATATTCTGTAGCAATATTAATTACATTAGAAAAAGAGATTATCGTAGGTACTATTAATACTAAAAAATATATGGTAACTAATAAGTAATTCTCAAAATTACTCGAATGATCATGAAGAAAAAATTGAATAACCAATGTTTTAAAAATAAGGATATTTCAATATCAAGAAAATAAAATTCACTGATACTTTCTCCACATAATATATTTAAATTTTTATAATAGGTATGTATCATTATTTGATTGATTATTTATATTATATATTATTGATTACATAGCATTACCCGATTATAATGTATTATTTTATTTATTAAATATCTTATATTATTATTTGAATAGTTATTTTTGCTATTATCTATATTAACATTAATTATTTTTTTTTACATTATTATAATTTATAAGCAATTTAATTAATATAATTTTATATATTTTTTAACAAAAAACACCTTTAGTATACTAATTTTATTTTGCCCTTGAAAAAGTGTGATATTATTTTAGGGTTATTGAATATGTCTTAACCAGGGTCGTCATTTCAACTTTTTTATTGTTGGTGCCAAAATTTTTGCAGGCTATTCAAATCATTACCAGGCCACATGGAATTTTTTTTCGGTGCATAAAGGGTGGGGGCGGTTTAAATGGTGACAAAAGCTTTATCTAATATGTCACCTATATTAGTATGAAAACATCACTATATTATTACTATTTTTGAAAAACTATGTGTAGGTACTTTTAATGAGTTTATATTATATTGTGGATGCCAGTTGTATTTGGTAAGTAAATTTATGGGTATAAAGCATCTTAACAGTACTTAATCGAACCTAACCTATACATTTTTTCTCCCTGCACACTCAAAATAAATAATATAGCTAAACCTGAAATTTTTTATATGGGTTACCTTGTTCAAAATGGCACAAAAAAAAAATATATATATATATATTAATATGTAACACTTAGGTAAATTGGCGCTTAAATTTATTGTTGGCAGGTCAAAGAAGGCGTTTATAAAAAATGTACAGCCTGCATTAATGAAAAACTGATGATGACCATGCTTGCATTTATTATGTGTTGATTTCTATTTTTGGATGCCTTGGTGATGTTTATCTGACATTCTGTCTTGTTACACAGTTGAACCAGTGGCCACCGCAGAAAAAGGGCCTGCCGGACAGCAGAAAAAACCAGGAGGGAATGGCATATCGTCTATAGATCTATACCACTCGATGGAGATGGGCGAACAGGAAAAGCTTGAAAGCCTCGGTAGCAATGACGACGAGGACGATAGCGATAAAGAAA